AATCAATTAATCCATCTGTCATAAAGGATTGCGTCTGTATAAAGGCGAAATTCGCTGTCGTGTCGAGAATTACAGGGCTAACAGCATATATCCGCGGTTTTCAGTCGTGAGTAGCCGCCTTTTTCTTTCCGTATTAACCCGCTGATGCGACAAGGGTGTGTCGCATTGCTCTGCTGGAACTGTCCCACCAAAAAGACCCCGAGGGCCCCATTAAACCCCAAATAAATTGGGGATTCATATCTACACACATTACCATTCATTCGCGTTTTATACGCACACAAATAGCTCGAACAAAGCAGGTTATGTACAGAAACGAGAGCACGCACGATAAAAACGCGACGACTGGTGCTTTCTTATTTAGCGAGATAATTCAAGGGAGGGAGAGAGAAAGAGAGAGAGAGAGAGAGACAATCTGCTTTGTTCTAGTCCTTTGCCAAAGCTACTCTGGCCTCGTATTGAATCAAAACTGAGAGCCTCAGCGTGAAAAATAGAAATGCATCTGCTCCACTTCCACTTGATTTACAGTCGCTTTCATAACACCGCATATTTATTAATAAGTCTGTTTGGTTTATAAATGCACTTAAACTGAAAGCGCACCCATTTTTCATCTTAAACAGCGTAAGATTAACATTAGCTCTCAAATAATGAAATAAATGTGAGATGAGGAGGCTAATTGACTGGCTGTCTGTTCATAGCGCTTGTCTGTCAAATCGCTGACTAAGATTGGCACTAATTAACCAACCAATTAATCCATCTTTCATAAAGGATTGTGTCTGTATAAAGGCGAAATTCGCTGTCGTGTCGAGAATTACAGGGTTAACAGCATATATCCGCGGTTTTCAGTCGCGAGGGAACGTTGCGTTAGCCGCCTTTTTCTTTCCGTATTAACCCGCTGATGCGACAAGGGTGTGTCGCATTGCTCTGCTGGAACTGTCCCACCAAAAAGACCCCGAGGGCCCCATTAAACCCCAAATAAATTGGGGATTCATATCTACACACATTACCATTCATTCGCGTTTTATACGCACACAAATAGCTCGAACAAAGCAGGTTATGTACAGAAACGAGAGCACGCGGACGACTGGTGCTTTCTTATTTAGCGAGATAATGAACAGACATTCAAAAACCCGTAATGAAAAATGTCTGTCGGTTCTATTACGTAAAGAACTGATGCGTCGCGAAACATTGTGGTTTTACACAGTAGCGCTCAGCGGCGTGGCGTTAATAAAGTCACGCGTGTTAACCAGAGAGCAGTGGTAGACAGTATTTGATGTCCCATTCAGAAGGAAGCATCAATCGACTATGAACTATGAATCAATATTTTCTCGTGTTACGAATACGGCCACTTTAACTGCACTTACAAGACTACGCTACAGCCATTCTATAAGAATTTGCTCTAATAAAGCGAGCAAGATAAGCAATAGAAATGAACAATTTCATGTCCATATAAACATAAAGCCTGCGTTTAAATATCCTATACAGTTGTCTAACAATTGTCCCAAAAGGTTTTACCTCTCCATAGACTACAGTTCTGCATTAATTATAACGGGGAAATTAAAATTTTAAAGATGTCCCGACGCGAACTGTTTCTTGCCTCACATTATCCAGAAACGCCCTAAATCATCTGTTAATAGGCTAATCATATATCTGTATCTGAGAATAAAGTTAAAATGCGGTAAACGACAAACTGCATCATTTAACCCTATTATTCCTGTTGTCTTTTGAAATAGCATCCAATTAAAAAAAAAAAAAAAAAACTATTACATCTTATAAAGAAGTGCTGTAATTACCTCTGTATAGGCTATGAATCCAAAGCAGAAAAAGGATTATTGGCACGCTAAATAAAGAAATATGGTTTAAAAGGATGTTTTTGTTCTTCCTCCTATTTTCCAACCCTTCTTCATCGCCCCCAATCTGCCAAAGAAAGACACTTCTGTTTTACAAATCGGCGTTATCTGGAAGACTTCGGCTGATTTCGTTTTAAAGACAATTTAAGATCGGCTTTGCTCGGACGCTGTCGTTAATGTCCGGAAACTTCTCTCACTATGGGTTACAAAGAGCAGTCGCGTTTAGCATATATAAAGCCTAGGCTATAGTAGAAATCTGTGTTGCTCTTTGCAAAAAAAAAACAAAAAAACACAATACTGTTAACCCAAAACCAAACCTTTTGCTAAAGAAATTCTTTGTTTTATAAACATATATTTTTATTATGTTTCTTTAAAGGGATGTATTTGTATTGTCTTTTGTCTATACAATGAAAGTCAGTAGGGTCCGGTGATGTTTGGCACTTTTTTTCTCCCGTCTCACAGCGGTCAAAGCTGAGCTGGAAGACTAAACTGAGAGACCCAATAACATGTCAGACAGACATATGTTTGTGTTTTGAGGCTGATCATGCTGTGACATTACAGTCACTGCACTTTGAGTTCATTTGAGGACTCTTCTATCATTCTGTCAAATAAAGAACAGAGGAATCAGAGCTTTAACCTTCAGCGCTCCATTCATCCATCCACCCACACATGCCTCTTTATCTCTCTCACACTCCTCCGTTTCATACTGCAATTACAACCAAGCTTATCTACACAGAACTGACGCAGCAGGACTGTTGTTTTGGAGCCTTGTGTAAATGCAGTTCTCATGAGTCCTGAGCTGAAGGGATAAACACATAATGTGCCGTTCTAAAGCTTATTCCCCACACACAGATATAAATCTGCATCTATCAACTGGGTTTTGAATGTTCTATTGTGCTTGGCATTAGTGATTTGAACAAATTCTAAAAACTAACACTAACTAAACATCTTATCCGTTGTGATCTTGCGAAAATGACATAATTTGGAGCCAGAGTCTGTGCAGTTGTGATTCATTTGTAGGAATACATCATTTTTTGAGAAAGGAAATTTTATGTAAACAAACGAGCAGAGGTGGATTATTTAAGTTTCGAAACTTTAAAAATACATCTAAGGTTAACTGGTTCAATTCATGAAAGAAAAGGACAGCATGTCGTATACATTTCCAAAAGTGTTCAACATCGTCTGCTGAGATCTGATTTTAAAATTGGTAAACAAATTAGCTAAATCTCACAAGCAATCTTTATTGGTCTGGATGCTGGTGTTTAAGCACAATTTTCCCCCAAATAAATATTTTATTTGGAATAACAGATGTATTCAATATAAAAATAAACCTCTCTCCTATAGAAGTTGGTATGAAAATGACAGTGTGTTTGTGGCAACTTTTAAATTCAAACTGTAATTTATTATCTTATAGTGACTTTTTGGATAAATTTGGGTTTGCAGTTACACCAAAAGAGTATGCTGTGATATTTGATGCCATACCCCAACAAGTAGCTACATTTTGTGAGAGCTTGTGGAAGTGATTCTTCTGAGGCAATATATGTAAACGCATGTTTCTGAGGCATTGATATTCTTAAACACAGCTGTACTAATAACTATATTAGGAATAGCCTATTATAACAGGTGAAACAGCTAATCATAAAATTGTATTTAAGCTTGAGCTTATTGTGGACCAATGTATTTGGAAATATAAATTGGAATATACCTTGGTGTATTTAAATAACGAGGTTACATTTAAAATTTGACATGGTATATATCTAGATAAATGTGTGTTTTAATTTGGATATTGATTATTCCCGCAGACCTAATCGCAAGTTCACAATCATGACACCACACCCCACTTTTATAGCATCAAATACAGGTGCATCTCAATAAATTAGAATGTCGTGGAAAAGTTCATTTATTTCAGTAATTCCACTCAAATTGTGAAACTCGTGTATTAAATAAATTCAATGCACACAGACTGAAGTAGTTTAAGTCTTTGGTTCTTTTAATTGTGATGATTTTGGCTCACATTTAACAAAAACCCACCAATTCAACATTTTTAGTGTTAAAAGAACCAAAGACTTAAACTACTTCAGTCTGTGTGCATTGAATTTATTTAATACACGAGTTTCACAATTTGAGTTGAATTACTGAAATAAATGAACTTTTCCACAACATTCTAATTTATTGAGATGCACCTGTAACTAGCTAAAATCAAACTTATTAGAAAAACGAACACTTGAACCTACATTAGCGTGACAAGAACTAACTAAAATGATGGGAACCATCTTTGGGAAAAATGTATTTCACTGATTCTTGAGACATGGAAAAAACATGTCCCGCAGTTGTAACTGCTAATAGGTTTAAAAATTAAAATATTTTCAATTGTAAATGTTATGGGGGATTAATAATAGAAGACAATTATCCCCTTCAATTTAATTTGATCATTATTATATCAAATCTATGACACTTATAGTCTTCTCACTACATCTAAAACAGTGTGTCCACAGAGAAGGGTTCAATCATTCATATGCTATAAAATGGATAAAAATGTTTTTTAATGATGAAAAAGAGCTTGTTTTATCAAAGGCAACACTTAATAATATCTCATATCAAAGCAAGGTTGTTTTTCAGTGACACATGCATGTTTCATAAGGTTTCAAAATTGTGTCCCCACTTTTTGTCAACACTGTCAGACATTTATTAAAATGTAATAAAAAATGTAATAAAATCAGGGTATAGCAGGGGCAGCTGTCACTCTAAATGACACCCTTCTCACTACATCTAAAACAGTGTGTCCACAGAGAAGGGTTCAATCATTCATATGCTATAAAATGGATAAAAATGTTTTTTAATGATGAAAAAGAGCTTGTTTTATCAAAGGCAACACTTAATAATATCTCATATCAAAGCAAGGTTGTTTTTCAGTGACACATGCATGTTTCATAAGGTTTCAGTTGTGTCCCCACTTTTTGCCAACACTGTCAGACATTTATTAAAATGTAATAAAATCTGGGAATATCAGGGGCAGCTGTCACTCTAAAGGACCCCCTTGCCACATTCCCCTCTACAGTGTCAGACAGGCTCTGGTAAGTTTTATGGTTTTAGAATATTTTAAATCCTAATGTTAATATTTCCTGTGTCACAACCATGATATGTCAACATTATCTTCCAATTTCTGAGGAAATTATTTGAAATATTTAGATCATTTTATTCTCTTGAAGCAGGTTCTATTAGCATCTAGCATCAACAGAAAAAAAACAAAAAGGCTACTACATGAACTGAAGTCATCATATTTTTGTGGTTTTCAACTCATTTTTAATTATATTAAATATAAAATAGTGTTTCATTTTTCTAATAATGTATAAATACTAAATATGTGACCTGACAGCTTTTGTGGATTAATAGTCATCACTTCTAGCACAGTTAGGGTTGAGGAAACATAAGATTCAGGGAACATAAGGCTGAGGGAACACATAACACTGGATAAAACATATCTATACATACTACAGTTTGTTTATATTCTGATGTGTTCTGATCATTTTTGGATCATTTGTTAAGATGTTTAAATGCGAATATTAAGATCCTGGTGAATGTAAATATATAGAGGTAACAACTAATTGTTTTATTTGTTCATATAACTGTTTTTAAAAGTTACCGTGTTGCCATAGCAGATGCACAGCAGACATACTGTTCTGAGATGAGAAAACAGATCTTGTTTGTGTTCCAAAGATATGTCAAAATACTTAAATAGGAATCTGTTATAAGCAATAACACTCACTGTTTGTTGTTTTTGTTTTAATACAGTAACAGATAGATTCAACATATTAGATAGTTAAAATGACAACAAATTCACATTTTCGTCACCAACCATCAGATCTGTCAACTCTGTCATCTCCGTCAGATGAATATTTTGATAATATTTCATTATGATATTTTATATTTGTTGTGGAATTGTTGGTCACATATGAAAGTGTAATGTGTCTGCTAACACGAGAATGCGTTTTGAAATGTTAAACACATCTTGACTGCTGTTAAAGATCAAGTTGATATTATATTACACAGTCCAAGGTAAAAAGCACATTTTGATAGAAAAAGAGTTGGGAGGTTGCATCAAAGCATAGCTCAGTAGCTTAGTACATATAATGTAGTTTCATTTGTCTGAGTAAAAGTTTTTTTTTTTTTTTTTCAATTTTGCACCCTGTTTTGTCCCACTTCTCAAGAATCAGTGATTTGAAGTGTAATTTGATTTTTTAGTTTGGCTCACGTCCCATTCTTTTACATGGAGCCAGCCACCAGATGGTGATCGAAATGTTTTGGCTTCACTTTTCAGGTCGTAACTCGCACGCTGTCCTCTAGTGGACACTATGGGGAATGCCATGAGCATGACCGATGTCTGAAGCACGTGTGAAAACACTCCAATTCATTGGCCAGCGACGGCCCGTGACGTCATTAGCGGGGCGCCCGGACGTATCTAATACACGTCATCAACTCATTCTCTTTCTGATTCTCTAAATAAAAAGTTTTTTTTTTCAGCGCAATTCTTTATTGTGTCAAAGCTCCGTTTATGCTGTTCCTATTCTCATGAACACTTAGAACGCCTTCGACATAGAGACTGGATGAGCCAGGTATGATGCATTCGCGAGACTGGCTTTTCTTTTCTGTTATCTCCTGAGGGATAGTAGTCAGCGTTTGCACGACCACGTTCAGCATTCAAAACGATGCATTCTATAATTGTTCTCATGTATTTCATTAAAAAAGGGAAGAATGGGTTCCCTTTTTTGAGAGTTGAATCATCTACACTCTCATCTCGTTAGCCACTGGCAGTGTCATTACATAAAATGAGCCCGTAGCTACCTATGTTTTAATAATCAGGGATGCAAAAGACTCATTGGTTTCAGCCACTAAATGAAGAGTTATTATTTTGGCTGATTATCTCCTGCTGGTTGATGACATAACTACAACATTCTTCAAGCCAAAAAAAAAAAAACATACTTGCCATTCAAAAGTAACCATGTATTCTCACTAAACAAAATTTTTTTGCCAATGTTGAACAATTGCACCTAACATGT